AATGACTTTTCGCACTAATTATAATTGGCCATTGTTATAAGTAAAATTGTAAACCCTTCTGTTTAAGGTTGTATTGCGCGTTCTTTAGCGTATGATTAATTTTTACAAGTTCAGTCGTCAACGCGAATGGCATGTGGGTTGGTGCTACGTCACCGAATTAGCATTCCTAAAGTTATTTGAAAACACGTTTTTATTTCATTTATAGCTGTGTTTTTAAGATGTGCTTCAGGGGGAAAAAATCCCATGCAGTTTTCTTTTTAGAAGAAAACTTAATGAAGCCCAAGACAAAAAAAAAATAATTCAAAANTGAAATTTTTTTATAGTAAAAGTTTGTAATAAATTCCACTTATTTTGATTATTTTTATATCATATAATTTTTATCCTTCTTAAAAAATAAACATGAGGAGTGTACTTTAACATCATTCTGGCTGCAAATGCAAAATATGTGTCCAATTTTAACAGAAAAAGTTGTGAAATATTTTTTGCCTTTTCCAACTTCATATTTATGTGAAGTCGCTTTTTCAGCATTCGTGGACATTAATTCGAAAAAAAGAAATAGATTATTGGTCTTGGAATCTCAGACTAAAATTGACCACAAGAGAACCGAATTATGATGAACTGTTATCTTATCACAGCAAAAACAATATCATCCTTTCTCACTGATGCAAATAAACTTATTAACAAAACTTAATATCAAAAAATAAAAATAAACATATTTTTAAAAAATACATTCATTTTTTTATTAGTGGTACACTGCGTTACGAAAAATTTAGAAGGGGTACACAAAAGTCATAAGTTTGGGAAACACTGCTTTATAGGAAAATAAGGGAAATAAGACAGCTGTTCTTATCATTTATTTCATGCAAAAAAATTCACATGTAAATAAGAAAATTAGAATTTTGTGATAAACATAATCTTAACAGTATTGCAAAGTTTGAAGGAAAACTGAAATACAATTCAAGAAACATTTATCATTTTTTTTTATCAATTTTTATCAGAATTAAGTTTTCGTTTTTAGAATTTAACTTTAAAACTTCAAACACGTGAAATACGCCTGGAAGGCTTAGAAAGAAATATATGTGCTGCTATGTTTTTATAATGCAATTTAACTTTTATGTTTAATTTAAATCATTTTTCATTTACTCATTATTTTGTCTGTCCTTGTCTATTTTCAATCTCTTATAACTCTAGAACCATTGACGATCGGGTTCTAAAATTCAAACGACAACAAAGAAAAATTTTAGACCTCGATCCGAAAAAAAAGTTTTAAAATTTTTAATTATTCCGTTCGGGAGAAACTTTTTGAAAAATGACTTTTCGCACTAACTATAATTGGCCATTGTTATAAGTAAAATTGTAAACCCTTCTGTTTAAGACTGTATTGCGCGTTCTTTAATGTATGATTAATTTTTTCAAGTTCAGTCGTCAACGCGAATGGCATGTGGATTGGTGCTACGTAACCGAATTAGCATTCCTAAAGTTATTTGAAAACACGTTTTTATTTCATTACAGTTGTATTAAGATGTGCTTCAGGTAAAAAAAATCGGATGCAGTTTTCTTTTTAAAAAAAAAAATTTATGAAACATATGACGAAAAAAAATAAAATAAAATAATTCAAAAAATTACAATTTTTCTTTGGCTCTTCATGAAAAAGTAATAAATAAACTATTGCATGTAACTCATAAAAAATCGAGTTTATTTAGTTTCGGCTGATTTTCTAGTAATTAAGTGTAGGTTATATAAAGTTTATCCAAAAATTAGTCGGAAAAATTTCTGCGCCTAATTTTAAATTATATAAAATACCTTGCTGAAAAACAACTCGAATTCAATACATAGTATTTTAAATATGAAAAATATTATGATCTTTAAAAAAGTCACCATCAATTGCAATATGCAAATTTATTTTAATGATGCAGTTTTGCATCACTAAAATAAATAANTTTTTTTTTTTTTTTTTTTTTTTTTTTTTTTTTTTTTTTTTTTTTTTTGAGCCCAAACAAATGCTGTAGTTAGTTATTAATCACAAACGAAGAAAAAAGAAAAAAAAAAGAAACTATAGGGCAATTCCATGAAAAGTAAAGCAAAATGTCAAACTTTAGCAAACTTAACATAATTATATATCATTTAAAGTTAAAAATGTATATTTTTAATGTTATCCTTCTATGTTTTTAATTCGGTGTTATTATGACGCACGAATTTCGAATTTGAGTTATCACTTTTGATGCTCTCAGTTCGGAACGAATTGCGCAACGACTACGATCATCTTTTCAGCCATTTCAGCGGATATTCAAATTCCGATATTTTCAATATGATACAAGTGTTCCAAATTTGATTAATCACCTTTTGATGCGCTTGGTACTGATGCGCACTGTGATTTTATTTTTAACAAATATAGTGATAACATATTTATAAACTTTAATAATTTTAATACTGTAATTTAATAATTTTATTACTAATCAAATAATTAATAATTTATTAATACTATTAATTAATTAACAATAATTCATTTTAAAACTAATGAAATAAAATAATTTTAAAACTAGTGAATAATTTAAACAGTAATGAAAGCGAAATTACGGAAAGTACAAAATGATTTGATTTCGACTCAAGGTGGGTAATCTCCTTAGGAAAATTGTGAAGAAAGGTAGACTAGTTGCGCTATTTCTCAGCAATATTCAGAAATACAAAAGTAATCGCTGGATTGAAAGAGATGTGTCAGTAGCAAAGAATTCAATTTCAATGATGCATCTTTTCTCATCATCGGATGGCACGCGGTGCAGACCATATGGGCACGAAGACGCATAACGTGCAAGATGTGACGCTGACAGAGAATTGGTTAAAAAGACGCGACTTTTTCAGAGCTTTCATGACTCTCTCCAAATTTGTGTCTAGTTACCCCTGTTAAATTTGGAGCTTGCTGCTAGGGATATGGGACTAATCAGTAATACCGATAAGACCAAATACATGCCTGTACTTGCTAAATTAAATTCTAGTGAATCCTATCTGGAGATTGGTTCCCACAGGTTTCAGACTGTTCAGAATTTTACTTACCTTGGTTCAATAGTTACTGCCGACAATAACATAGACAATGAGATTCGGAGTCGTCTAATTTGTTCAAATAAAGCTTTTTATGGTTTAAAACGTTTTTTCAAATCCTCTCTTTTATCAAAAAATACAAAACTTTTACTCTATAAAACATTAATTAGGCCAATACTTACCTATGGCTCTGAGACCTGGAACCTAACTCAAGCTGGTGAAAATAAAATTGCCATTTTTGAGAGAAAAGTTTTGAGGGCCATCCTTGGTGGGATAAAAATAAATAATTCCTGGAGAAGACGATATAATACTGAACTGTATAAAATCTACAGAGAGCCAGATATTGTGAAATTCATTAAAATAAATCGAATGAACTGGGCAGCTCACATTTTCAGAAGGAATGATGACTCAAATTTAAAGAAAATCCTATTACACAAACCCCTAACGAACAGGAAAAGAGGTAGACCCAGGCTGAGATGGCTAGATTTAGTTGAGACTGATTTCCTTACTCTAAAGGAGAAAAACTGGAGAATAAGTGTCAAAAGTAGAGAGGAGTGGATTCGAATTCAAAGGAAGGCACTGGCACACCCTGGGCTGTCTAGCCAGATATGATGATACCCCTGTTAAATATATCTTCTCAAAATCTTTCATGCAGGTAATTTAGATTTTTTATTCAATGGGATTTTTCAAGTTATTTAACTATTGCATAACTTTATAAAGTAATAATAACAGAAGTAAGAGAAATAAGTAGTTTTTTTCTTCATACGATGTTCATTTTCCCTCCATTAGGTTACGTTCTAAATAACTTACATCAGCAAAAAAATAATAAATCACATACTAAATCAAGTTTATTTAATATAATTTATTATCATTTTCTTTTCACAAAACATATTTGATTTGAGATAAAAGCCATTAATTAATGAAAATATGGGATTGGAACTTCAACTGTGGCAGCTGAATGCAACAAAAGTTTTAAGTGTTAAATGTTTTCATAAAATTTAAGGAGAATAAAATATAAATAAAGAGTGCTCAAATTGAACTCAATTATTATCTTTGAATAATAATGAATCATAAAAGCACTTTTCATGAAAAACTACCTTAATACAATCATACAAAGACTTAATTCATTTAATTATTCAATATTTTAATTTTGTTTAGAATAATTAATTAACTAAACGTTTAACTAATTTATAACTACATAAGAAAAAGTCCAAGAAAAAGCATTGTGTTTCAGAAATTGCATATACCAGATTAATTGCTTACCATATTATAACCCCAATTGTTTTTACAATTATTATTCAAGTATCAAAAAGACTATGCAGTCAAAAAAAAACTAATGCAAAAAAAAAACATGAATACTGAGAACAAATGAGCATTTATGCCATTCTGAATCATATCAAATGCTTTAAAAATTTGTCAAAGAGAAAAATGGAAGAATGTATTACATTATAAACGATAAATATAGCAGAATATTAAAAGGAAAAAAATAGCAGTTTAAATATTTTTACTTAATTTATCTATTCAACAATATCGAAAAATTAAACATTGTCTATAAAACTATTTTGTAACACAAAACAATCTAAAATTAAATATAATAAACTTTTATTTGTTCGTTTTAATTTCGATTTCTCTAAAATTTACAGTCAGTAACATTTTTTAACACGTTATAGCATCATAAACTGTAAATATAGCATAAAATTTAGAAATATCTACTCGTCATAAAATACAATTCAATATTGAATTATTACAAATTATACATTTAACTTTTATACGATGCAAAACGTTTTAAATTCAAATATCCTAAACTTTAACTTGTAAGTATCAGTCTTGATCTCTCTAGGAACTAGTAAGTAAAAAAAAAATTTCATAAGCTCTAACATCACTGCAATATGAATATCAGTACATATCACACATCATTAACTATAAATATAGCATAAAATCAAAAGAAAAAACAACAGTTTAAATAATTTTGCTAAAAATATTTATTTTTTGTTCAGTACAACAACTCATAAATGGAACAATTAAGCATTGTCTATTAAACTATTATACCATACAAAACATTCTAAATTTAAATATCCTAAACTTTTGTTTGTTAGTATCGGTTTTGATCTTTCTGAGATTTAGTTAACAAAACTTCCTTAATGCGTTTTAGCATTGATGGAATCAATTCAATATGAGTATCAGCACATTTCACCACACAAGATTCAAAGTCTTTTTGAAAACTAGCAATTTCTCCTTCTTTAGTACTTGGTGTAATTTTATCCCTTACGTTATCTTGACATTGCATAACACAACGCTGAATCCTATCCTAAAATTGAACATGAACAAATTCAGTTTTTATGCATAAAAAAAAAATTCAAATGCAGTGAAAACATTTCATAATAGTGACCTCTTTTTAACTTCATACATGTTCTAAAATAGAATATTAGAATTAGCGGAAAAAGTAATAAAATACTTTGCTAAATCTTAAAAAAAAATGAAATAATAATAATTAAAAATGAAGCAAAACAGTAATAGCATAGTAAAAAAATTTGACCACTCAAAATAATTCTTGATTTAATGTTCAGATCTTCACATTTTAGGACTCAATCTTAATAATACAAGGAAGTGACCTCAAATATGCCAATTAATTAGTATGGGTGATATTTTTAGTTAAGAAATCAGACAAATTAATTTTATAAACTAATTNTTTTTTTTTTTTTTTGTCAGTATTATTTGCAGTGAAAAAATATTTAATTTAAAAAGCAACCTTTTAAATATAAGTACATTTATGAGAATATTTTACCTTATTTACTATAAATCAGCCATACTTAAAGGAATGCCAGTGGTTCCAGTCAACTGCATTCAAATAAGCAGGATTATAACAGGAGTACATTACTCCATCATTGCTATGTTTTTACAAAATTTTACTTTTTGAAATGATATGTAATACATATTCTAATGTTTTGAGGGAATAAAGTCTTTTTAAAGATTAATAAACAAATATTAGAGCTGTTATTTATATCATAAAGCATAAATAACTCTTAAATTTATAAAAGATAATTAAAAAAAATTTTATTAAAAGTACAATATATCATCATCATCAATGGCTCGACAGCCCAAGGTGGGCTTCGGCCCGCTCAAGAAGTTTTTTCTAGATCAACCTTTTTTCTGCCAGTGTGTTTTAGTTTTTAAGACCAAAAGGTATTTTTCTAAGCCACCTATCGATCTCTAACTCGGCCAGCCTTTTTTTTGTGTGTCAACTGGTCTCGCATTAAAAACTCTTTTTTTTTGTGGTACGGTTTTCATCCATTCTGATAGCGTGGTCTGCCAATTTTATTCTTTGTCATTTAATGAAGTTAATAATGTCAGGTTTATTACATGAGTAATGAAGCCCTAAATTTGTTCATCGAAGCCACACACCATTTTTTTAATTCCCCCCAAAATACTTCTAAGACCTTTCTCTCAATGGTACCCAACATAACCTCATTCATACGCGACACGGTTCAGGTTTCACAAGCATATGTTAAAATTAATCTTAAAAGAGATTTACACAACAAACCTAAGAATTTAAGTCAGGAAATTTAAGACTACATAGGTTTCATATTAAAAAATTTGATTCCACTAAATTTTGTTTGCAGAAGCAGATTATTCAATTATCCCATATAAAATTAAATGGGGGCGACAGCATTTCTTTATATAAAAAAAGTTATAATTTGTTCGCAACACAAAAATCATACAGGCTTAGAGGTGGGGTTCTACTTGCAGAACTGCAAAAAAGTTTAAAAAATAACTAATAAGGAAAGAAAGTATAAATGAAAAATGCATATTCTACCTGGAAATTTGTTAATTCATCTTGCAGAAATGATTGTGATTCAGTGATGGTTGAACTACAGGATTCAATACACCGATGCACTTCTTCCATTGAAGTTGATGGATCATCACAACATCTGGCAGCACATTTGTGCATATCTCCCTGAGCAAATAAAAGGAAATCAACACTAAATTTATATGTACACAAATCAGATAAGTAAAAATACATACTTTCTAAATACAGTTTAACCTAACTATAAGCAGAACATAAAAAAAGGTAAGGCACGATTTCTAGTAAGTAAATCAAACAACTTGTTAGTCTCAAGTAGGCAAATATTATCAAGAATAAAAGCTAAAATTAACAAAACATAATAATAAGTACATTTTTTTTTAAAATCAGGACAACTTAGTTTTTTATTTATAATGAAGAAAGAAAAAAAACATGCAAGTTTCATTTGGGAATTCTTGATTTGTCCTCACATGATTACATCCGGAAAAAAAAAATCAAAAAAAAAAAAAAAATAGTACAAAAACTCTTTGAATAGTGACAAATTAAAAATAAATATTATTTTTAATAAGGTAAAGATATCATTAGACATTACAATTATTAAACAAATGAAAGATTTTGCTTTCTTGGATCATAAAGATAAAGCTTTTAGATCTTATTAACAATTTTTCTTTTACTAATTTACACTTCAAAATTCTTTGTTTTGATCTTGTAAAAGCCAAAGAGTATAATTTCACCAAATAAAAAGAAAAATTTAGCTGACTTATATTTTTTATTAGCTTCTAAAACCCTATTTATGACACATTTAAATTTCTTAATATATGTGAATTTTTTAAAGAATTAAAAGGTTTTAACATAATTAAAAGCTATTAATATAATAAAACTCTTGGTAGAACTACTTTTAATTATAATGATATTAGTTTAAATTTAGGGAAAATAAATTTTTTTGATTATAGATATCATTGTAAAGAGAAATATTTTGAATTTGCTGATAAATATCATAAAAATATTATTATTGGTAATTTAAATATTATAGAAAACTTAGAACTAAGAAATTTAATGTTAAAAGGCACAAAATTTAGACCTATTTTCCATTATTAATTTATAAAATTCAAAAATGCTTCCTTAATTATCTCAATGATTTTTGTTTAAAGGTATCTAACAGATTCTAATCAGCTTCCATTCTGTTAATGCTACTAGGTATGTTAATACAAGGCATACCTGCCAACATTGGAAAAATTAAATAACGGAAATTTTACTGACGACATTTTTTAAGCTACGAGCAATGTTTTGATACATCATGTAGAATCATGTAAGTCAAAAAGAGAAATTCAAAATTGGAAAGATAAGCACTTACATTTAGGAAAGTAAAAAAGGTGTATATAAATCTTAGTCTAAAAAAGAATTTTTAAACCATTATTTATAATTACTTAAACTATTAACACTCAACATAATGCAGTACTGGCAATATCACTATCAGTTGAGGAATAAGAGAAGTATTTTTGTCATCAGTGAATATTTTATCACTAATTTTATGTTTTTGCTTGTTTGTTTTTGTAAATTTCTTCAACAAATAAAGAGAAATTTGAAAATATACAGGTAAACAGGATATAGTCGTAAAATACAGGAGTCTTCGTTAAAAAACAGGAGACTTCGCAGGTATGACAATGATAAACAGGGTGTTTATTAATACTTTAAAAACTTTATTTTTAATAATAAGGGGAATTTAATTTAATTACTGTTTAAAATAATTTTTTAACATTTTTTTTCTAAAATTGATCAAACAATTAAGCAATTTCAAAAGAATTTTTAATCATCCCCATATACAAAGCTAATAACTATGCAATCTTCTGTAAAAAATTTATAAATTCAACTTTTAAATCAGGAATTAAAAAATAGTAAAAATTTCAAGCCTAACAATTTAAAGAATATAGTTGTCAGGAAAAAAAACTTTAGCTTTCTATAAGAAGTTAAAAATAATAATATTTCCAAACTTAATTATCAGACCAAAATTCCATAAATATCCTAGTAAATTTAGAAAAATCACTTGTGGGTCTAATACTTACTTAACTAAACCTGGCATCTAACTACTATCTATCTATTCTACTCCTTAAATAAAATTAATAACAATTTTATTAAAGAGGGCTTTCCTTGGATTATCATTAATATTTTAACCTATTTTAGAATTTATTTAACAAAATAAAATTAATTCTACTGCAACTTTGGATTTCCAAGATTCTCTTCAATAGCACCCCCTTTCTAAACTAAAAAATGTTTCTTTGAATTATTATAATGATTATAAAAATATCCGTAATTGCAATTTCGATCAATGGAAAATTCAATTAATATTTGTCTTTTTAATAATTATCTTTGTAATGGGAAAATACATATTTATTCAAAAAGATGGAATAGGGGAGAGGGGGGCACCTTTCAACAGTTTTTGCTTAAGAATTATTTTCGAAGTTTTATTGCTTTCAAAATCTAAGTTCTAATTTTTATTTACTAATTTGATATTTGAGGTAACCTCTCAATTTTTTCCAAAGGTCTAAACCAAAGACAAAATACCTAATTTTACATATTTAGTGAACCATGTATTTTGTTGAAATCTACCCCTCCTGGGGGGCAGTTTTCAACGGGTGGTGGGGCACATTTCAACAACTGAAGAGAACGTAACAAAATCATACATTTTGGAAAATTAACTTTACTCATAAAATAATAATAATGAATGAACATATTGGATTGATTTAGATTTTTTCTACATTATTTGGTCTTTAATAAAATCAAAGTTTACGGAGAATGTCATGAAAAATACAGCTCGAGCTGTTACGTAGCTTAAACTTGGTTGAGGCAGTTTCATTTTAATGTCATTTCTTTCTATACTACTAATGTCCTCTATACTACTAATTCTGGAAAATAAAACATTGATTATCATGCTTCCTCGCTCTCCAGAAACTACCTGCCTCACCAGACCAGCTCCTAGCTTGGCAACAACATNAAAAAAAAGTAATAAAATACTTTGCTTAAAAATTTTTTTTTTAATTAAGCAAAAAAGTAATTAGCATAGCAAAAAAAAAATTGACCACTCTAAATAATTATTGACTTAATGTTCAGATCTTCACATTTTAGGACTCAATCTTAATAATACAAGGAAGTGACTTCAAATATGCCAATTAATTAGTATGGGTGATATTTTTAGTTAAGAAATCAGACAAATTAATTTTATAAACCAATTTGACAATGCTGACAGTTTTGTTTTATTTTTATTTTTGTCAATATTATTAACAGTGAAAATATATTTAATTTAAAAAGCAACCTTTTAAATATAAGTACATTATTGAGAATATTTTACCCTTATTTACTATAAATCAGACATGCTTAAAGGAATACCAGTGGTTCCAGCCAACTGCATTCAAATAAGCAGGATTATAGCAGGAGTACATTACTCCATCTTTGCTATGTTTTTACAACATTTTACTTTTTGAAATGATATGCAATACATATTCTAATATTTTGAGGGAATAAAGTATTTTTTTATGATTAATAAGCAACTATTAGAGCTGTTAGTTTTAATATCATAAAACATAAATAACTCTTAAATTTATAAAAGATAAAAAAAAACAAGTTATAAAAAGTATAATATATCATCATCATCAGTGGCTCGACAGCCCAGGGTGGGCTATGGCCTGCTCAAGAAGTTTTTTCTAGATCAACCTTTTCCCTGCTAGTGTTTTCTAGTTTTTAGCTTTTAAGATCAAAAGGTCTTTTTCTAAGTCACCTATCCATCTCAAACTCGGCCAGCCTTTTTTTCATGTGTCAACTGGTTTGGAATTAAAAACTCTTTTTATGGTACAGTCTTCATCCATTCTGATAACGTGGCCTACCAGTTTTATTCTTTTTCATTTATTGAAGTTAATAATGTCAGGTTCATTACATGAGTGATGAAGCCCTAAATTTGTTCTTTGAAGCCACATGCCATTCCTTTAATTCCTCCAAAAATACTTCTAAGACCTTTCTCTCAAAGGTACTCAACATAACCTTATTTATACACGATATGGTCCCGGTTTCACAAGCATATGTTAAAATTGATCTTAAAAGAGATTTATGCAACAAAACTTTTGTGTTTCTATGAATTACATTAGATTTTATGTATTTTAAAAAATTCTATCAAAACATCTATTGACTACAGTGATTCTCTTTTGAAATTATACATGTTCTATATATAGTACTATTTTTTTATTTCCAAATAAATATTGTTTTGATACACATTTAATTGAACCATAAGTAATCATTTAAGTGAGGAAATTTAACACTACATAGGTTTCATATTACATAATTTGATTCCACTAAATTTTGTTTGCAGAAGCAATTACCCCATATAAAATTAAATGGGTACGACAGCATTTCTTTACATAAAAAAAGTTTTGAAGAAATTTTCTTGCTACACAAAAACCATACAGGCTTAGAAATGGTGTTCTACTTGCAGAACTGCTAAAAAGTTTAAAAAATAATTAATAAGGAAATAAAATATAAATGAAAAATGCATATTCTACCTGGAAATTTGCTAATTCATCTTGCAAAAATGATTGTGATTCAGTGATGGTTGAACTACAGGATTCAATACACCGATGCACTTCTTCCATTGAAGTTGATGGATCATCACAACATCTGGCAGCACATTTGTGCATATCTCCCTGAGCAGATAAAAGGAAATCAACACTAAACTTATATATACACGAATCAGATAAGTAAAGATACATATTTTCTAAATACAGTTTAACCTAACTATAATCAGAACATAAAAAAGGCAAGGCACAATTCCTAGTAAGTAAATCAAACAACTTGTTAGTCCCAAGTAGGCAAATATTATCAAGAATAAAAGCTAAAATTAACAAAACGCAATAATAAGTAAATTTTTTTAAAATCAGGACAACTTAGTTTTTTATTTACAATGAAGAAAGAAAAAAAACAGGCAAGTTTCATTTGGGAATTCTAGATTCTTCCTTACATGATTACATCTGCAAAAAAAAAAAAAAAAAAGAGTAAAAAAACTCTTTAAATAGTGACAAATTAAAAATAAATTTTATTTTTAATAAGGTAAAGATTTCATTAGACATTACAATATTAAACAAATGAAAGATTTTGCTTTCTCGGATCATAAAGATAAAGCTTTAAGATTTTATTAACAATTTTTCTTTTACTAATTTACGCTTCAAAATTCTTTGTTTTGATCTTGTAAAAGCCAAAGAGTATAATTTCACCAAATAAAAAGAAAAATTTAGCTGACTGATATTTTTTATTAGCTTCTAAAACGATTTCATGACACATTTAAACTTCTCTATTTATGACACATTTAAACTTCTTAATATATGTGAAAATTTAAAGAATTTTTAAAAGAATTAAAAGATTTTAACATAATTAAAAGCTATAAATATAATAAAACTCTTGGTAGAACTACTTTTAATTATAATGATATTAGTTTAAATTTAGGGAAAATAAATTTTTTCAATTATAAATATCATTGTAAAGAGAAATATTTTGAATTTGCTGATAAACATCATAAAAATATTATTATTGGCAATTTAAATATTATAGAAAACTTAGAACTAAGAAATTTAATGTTAAAATGCACAAAATTTCGACCTATTTTCCAGTATTAATTAATAAAATTTAAAAATGCTTTCTTAATTATCTCAATGATTTTTGTTTAAAGATATCTAACAGATTCTAATCAACTTCCATTCTATTAATGCTACTAGGTATGTTAATACAATGTATACCTGCCAACATTGGAAAAATTAAATAATGGAAATTTTACTGGCGACATTTTTTAAGCTACGAGAAATGTTTTGATACATCATGCAGAATCGTGTAAGTCAAAAAGAGTAATTCAAAATTGGAAATATAAGCACTTACATTTAGCAAAGTAAAAAAGGTGTATATAAATCTTAGTCTAAAAAAGATTTTTTTAAACCATTATTTATAATTACTTAAACTATAAACACTCAACATACTGCGGTACTGGCAATATCACTATCAGTTGAGGAATAAGAGAAGTATTGTTGTCATCAGTGAATATTTTATCACCAATGTTTTGTTTATGTTTGTTTGTTTTTAAATTTCTTCAACAAATAAGGAGAAATTTGAAAATATACAGGTAAACAGGAAATAGTCGTAAAATACAGGAGTCTTCGTTAAAAAACAGGAGACTTGGCAGGTAAAACAATGGTAAACAGGGTGTTTATTATTACTTTAAAAACTTTATTTTTAATAATAAGGGTAATTTAATTTAATTACTGTTTATAATAATTTTTTAACAATTTTTTTCTAAAATTGAATTAGCAATTAAGCAACTTCAAAAGAATTTTCAATTATCCCCATCTACAAGCTAATAAGTATGTAATCCTCTGCAAAAAATTTATAAATTCAACTTTTAAATCAGAAATTAAAAAATGGCAAAAATTTCAAGCTTAGCAATTTAAAGAATATTGTTGTTAGGAAAAAAACTTTAATTTTCTATAAGAAGTTAAAAATAATAATATTTCCGAATTTAATTATCAGACCAAAATTTCATAAATTTCCTAGTAAATTTAAAAAAATCACTTGTGGGTCTAATACTTACTTTCAACTAAACCTGGCATCTAACTACTATCTATCGATTCTACTATCTAACTCCTTAAATAAAATTATTAACAATTTTATTAAAGAGGGCTGTTCTTGGATTATCATTAATATTTTAACCTATTTTAGAATTTATTTAACAAAATAAAATTAATTCTATTGCAACTTTTGATTTCCAAGATTCTCTTCAATAGCATCCCCTTTCTAAATTAAAAGATGTTTCTTTGGGTTATTACAATGATTATAAAAATATCCGTAATTGTGATTTTGATCATTGGAAATTCAATTAATATTTGTCTTTTTAATAATTATCTTTACAATGGAAAACACATTTTTATTCAAAAAGATGGAATACCACAAGAATCTAATTTTTAATCATTTCTAGCAACAATTACAATTTACATTTACATAAAGTTATAATCTTAATATTAAATTTGTTTTTAGATTTATTGATGATTTAAGTATCTTTAATTTTTAAAATTATACAATTTTGTTAAATAATATATACCCAGACGAATTAAACTTGCTCCATAATCATAACTATAATATGAATTCTAAATTCTTGGATCTAAGTATTAAAAAAGCATAAAATATCTGCATTGTTAACTTATACAATAAAATGAATGATTTTAAATGTAATTCAAATAAACTAATTGCAGGGAATTCTAAATTTTCTAAAAACATTTATATTTCCTACTACTTTTGATCAAGAGAATAAAATTAAAAGAATATGTAGTAATGCTTGTCTATCTAAAAAAACAAATGAACCAACTCTTCCAAAATTCTATTCTAAAAAATACAATGGATATCCAATTAATGAAATTAAATTTTAAATAAATTCATTGAGTTAATTGTGAATTACAATCATTAATGAATTTTTAAAAAAATATATTTGCTAACTAAATGTATATGTCCCATGATATAGACATCATTGCTCACAAGATCTAGGACTGCACTGAGTGAGAATTTTTTGGCAATGGAAAAATCTGCTAGAAAAATGAACTTAAGAGTAAATCTGGAGAAAACAAAATATATGTATTGTGGTACAGTGGAAACCATCCCTATATTGTTTGAAATACATTCTTTTAAATTTAAATCTGTAAAAAATTTTACCTATCTAGGATCAGAAATAAACTATCATAATGACATTAATCCTGAAATCAGAAAAAGAATAATCGCAGCCAATCGCTGCTTCTATGGTTTAAGATCATTATTGAAATCTCACTTAACAAAAAGAAAGATGAAGATTTTACTTTATAAGGTATTAATCAAGTCAGTTTTGACTAATGCTTCAGAGATATGGACTTTAACAAAAAGGGAAGAGAAGTTATTAGCAACCTTCGAAAGGAAGGTCCTACGAACCATCTTTGGCGCTATCCTCGATAACAACAACTGGTGAAAAAGATATAATTTTGAAATATATAAGATCTTTAATAGTGATGACATCATTAAATCTATTAAACTAAGCAGAATGAGATGGGCAGTGCATGTAGTGAGAATGAGCCCAGAACGAACAGCATTAAGAGACTTTAATGCAACCCCCTCCAATAAAAGGCCAAGAGGAAGGCCCAAAAATGGAAAGACTGTGTGGATGAGGATTTTGCCATCTTAAGGGTGAAGAACTGGAAAACAATTGCTGAGAGAAGGTCAGAATGGGAAAAGCTTTTGAGGAAGGCCCAGGCTCACAAAGGGCTGTCGTGCCAATGCTGATGATGAAATGTATATGTATGTCAAATCCAATTCGGGCAAATCTGCAGCTAAAAACCTTTTAATACTAATTAAGAATTTTTTTGTAAAAATATTGATAGTTTTCTTAAAATTCGTCAAAATTAAAATATTAATTAAAATTCAACATTTCATTAATTGTAAACTTTAAATTATCCAGTATAATTATCTTGTACAAATCCAGTCATAGGCCAGTCCAAGGTAACTGATTAATCAAATATGATTCTATACTTCAGTAAGAACTTGCCATAAAATACATCCTACTATCTTCTAGCTATGCATTTGTTTTCATATTTTATAATCTGGCAAACTTGTTTAAAGATATTTTAAATCATTTTGGCTGAATGTCCGAAAGTGTATAGACATTTGAATTTGCTGCTCACTTTATCTGCTATATTTTGTGTTTTAATCAGTATTTTTCTGGAATTTTTATTTGCTTGATTTCTTTTATTCTGTATTTTTGCATACTGATTTTTATTTTTGTTAAAATTTTTATTTTTCTGCTCCTAACGCTAATGTATTGATATATTTTGCTTTGTGTTTATTAATACAATATAAGAAAGCTCTCTTTTTTGGGGATATAACAGTGTGAGCTGACATCTTTTCCTTATTTCATTTTCAAGCTTTTTAATTTTTTTAAAAAAAAATTATTTTAAGTAGTATTAACTATTCTTCATCTTTTTAGAAATATTTTTTCTCGTTTACTTGGCAATTTCAACTTATAAATGTACACAATAGGTAACTTACAATATATACAGTAACTTATAAATATAAACAATACTCATAAATATATATAACTTGTAATATACAATAGAAACATGCATTCTGTGAAGAAAGACCTATCATTTGCTTGCTTAAAAAAATGAATTTTATGTATAAAAATATTAGAGCTTATTGATTTTGCAATTGTTTCATATAATAAAATATTTTATATAACATGTAATATTCTATTCCTAGTTATAAAAAAAATCACTGAATAGTAAAAAACTTTACTATATTACAAAACTAAAGCTTATCACTTTTTTTTGTACTTATTGATCTCAATTGATAAAATTTTTTTTCACATATTAAATCAATATTTAAGAAAAAGTTTAATTAATAATGAATTGTAGCTTATATATTGTGAATGGTTGAGAAATTTCTTTTAATATCATATATTAAAAAAATATATTCTTCTACATTACCTTCATTACAAATAGCATTACTGCCCTTAAGAAAGTCCGGTCATCGTGTTTAATAAAAGATAGAGCAAAGTATAATATTAGAATATATTTAATTTTTAGGCGGTGAAACTTAATAAGCACAAATATCAATATTCTTTGATTTCGGAACTAAATGAGTAGATATTGCATAATCAAGAAGACAATACCGGCAGCCGGCATGTGTTGAGCGTTTATGCAATGGAAAATACAATGATATTGAAAGGTCACAAATACTTCAGATATGAAGCGATCATAACTTACTTGCATTTTTCTCATACATGATCGATCAATTTCTTCTAACATTGAATTAATTGCTTCTTTAACACGTGAGCTTGCTTTTTCTGCCATTTTAATGTTTGTTTGGTTTGTTGTTTTTATTTATTGATAAATTGATAGATGCTTGATTAGGAAACAAACCACTTACCTCTACTTCTTTCTGCTTACTTTGAACTCGCCTTAAAATTTCCTTGTAATTTTAGGATCATTCTCACTGCAAATAAAAAAATAATCACGCATGCAAAATTGGAGTTGCTGTAGTTCATTTACGTCGCATTAGAGCTGCACAATGGGTTATTGGCAACGGTCTGAGAAACATCCCTGAGGAAGGTTCGAAGACATAATGAAAGCACAATTTTGATCCTCAGCAGAGAGGATGGCACCCCCGCTTCGGTTGCTCGTAAGCGAAGTCGAGCACTTTACGGTAGAACCCGCAGCTAATGATGCTTGACTTCGGTGATCTGCTGGGAAACGTCTCTTAATGATCAGTCCACTGCGGGACTTGCAAATCTGGAGATGTGAGCAAGAACTTGATTGGTTTTTTTTCGTTAGAGCTTTACAATATTTCACCTGTCAGATTCTCCTTCACATCTTCGAATTCGCATACGCGATTTTTTTTTTCTTTTCTATTTTTAGCATTGTAAATAGGACCTTTTACGCTGCATCCGATTGCCCATCGCACACAAGCGAAAGTTTAGAAACTACACGTGAAAACAGTAATGAAAGTAACAGTAATACTTTATTTACATCGCACTAAATCTTAACAAATGGGCTATTGGCGATGATCTGGGAAACATCCTAAAGGATGATCCGAAGACTCTCACAAAATTCATATTATGCAATGGGGATGACGACACAACCGTTTTGGTAGAACACGAAATTGAGCACTTTATGGTTGAACAGTTAAAAAAGTACTGATTCTACACACCCTCGGTCCTTTCAGAGGATGATCATAGTGGTTAATCGCAGTTGCTTGATTTCAGTCATATAGTGCTTGACTCCAATAATCTATTTAAAACAGTAGTGAAATTTTAAGATCACGCTGCCACGCTACAGGGCAAATTTTAGAAAGTTTAGGCACCATTCTCACTGGAGACGAACTAGAACCCTGAAGAGTGAAACATATTTTTCCAGGAAAAACTCGTCAATCATCTACACACGTATACGAGCAACATTTAATCTCTCTTTCTCTTTTAATTTTTGGCTAAAACGTGAGTTTATAAAATACAGATTTCAAGAGAGAAAAATTACTTTTTACAACAATAAACAAATAGTCAATATTTAAAATTAAGAAAAATTACACAAAAAGCCCTTTTTTCATACATATATATTACAATAACTTTCAAACAGTCCCGCAGTGGACTGATCGTTAAGACACGGTTCCCAGGAGATCACCGAAGTCAAGCATCACTGGCTGCGGTCAGTGTGCGGGTGGGTGACCACTTGGATCAGCCTGCGTAGGGACCGAGGGTGTGCGGTATTGGTCCTCGTTAAACTGTTCTACCGTAAAGTGCTCGACTTCGCGCGCAGGTCGTCGGGCTACCAAAGCGGGGGAGCCATCCCCTCCGCAGAGGATCAAAATTGTGATGGAATGTCTTCGGATCATCCTCAGGGATGTTTCCCAGACCGTCGCCAATAGCCCATTGTGCAGCTCTAGTGCGACGTAAATGAACAACAACAACAACTTTCAAACAAATTGGAATTTCAGAAAAATATAAAAAACTCGCGTTTAATTTACAGATAAACTTGAAAAATTTCACATCAAATTTAAACTTTGTAGTAGTTGCATTTCCGCAGCCTGTCGATCGACTTGCATGGTAATTTTTACTAAAGGTTTAACAGTTTATAATAATCGAATGTTAAATATTCTTATCCTGTCATACACATGGATGAGAGTAGTCAGAAAGCAAAAAAGAGGAAATCCAAGAATGAATATATATATCCAAAAATTTGACAAAAAAGTGCGATTGAAAAGTGCCATGTGATTATAAATCCCGATGATTAATTTTAAATTTGTATGAATATATGAATCATATGCATGATTTTAAATTGAGAGAATATGAATCCCGATATGAGGCTTTTAAATCACGTGAATATAAAACTCTATATCGAATTTAAAAAATGCGAAAATACAAATCATGATGCGCAATTTTTAGATCACGTGAATACGAATCACGATGCATAATTTTTAAGTTGCGCGAATACGAATCCCAATGTCTAATTTTTAAAGCACGTACGTATAATTAAGAAAATCGACGTTTGATTTTACAACCGGCGCAAAAACGAATCACGACATTGGATTTTAAGCTCGCGTGAAGACGAATCGCTACATAGGGTTGGAAAAACGCGTAAATACAAATCGTGATATTGGATTTTTAAATCTTATAAATAAGAATCGCAATGTAAGACATTTAAGGTAAATGCGAAAATTTTTGATAATAAAATCGGGATTTTAAAAATGCATAAATACAAGACGCGATATTGAGTTTTCAAATCTCGTAAATAAGAATCATAACACACGATAATTAAATAGCGTAAATAAGAATCACAACGTGCAACTTTTGAATCAGGTAAATACGAAAATCGATGATTGATATAAAAATCGCGTGAATAAGAATCGAGATATTTGCAGAGTCTGGACTCGGGATTTCTAAAAGGCTTGTTTGTATTGTTTTTGTTTAGACATAATAAATAAAAATTGACAAGATTAATTGAATGAGGAAATAAATATTTTCACTGCAAATCCACCTCTATTTTTTCGCTTGCTTTCACGCCAGAAAACAGGAAGCAGCGACGTCTGAATTACGAAAATATCCGGCTGTCCGACGGACGGATAAAAATACGGAAAATCTTATTTTCTGAGCGTAAAATGGGAGAAAATAGCTAAAATAAGTAAAAATGCTGAAAGGTTAGCAGCTAGGACGTAGTTTGAAATTTCTGTTCATCTTTGAAAATCGTAAATAAATATAATTATTTTNGCGACGGTCTGGGAAACATCCCTGAGGAAGGTTCGAAGACATGATGAAATCACAATTTTGATCCTCAGCAGTCCCGCAGTGAACTGATCGTTAAGACACGGATCCCAGCAGATCACCGAAGTCAAGCATCACTGACTACGGTCAGTGTGCGGGTGGGTGACCACTTGGATCAGTCTGCGTAGGGACCGAGGGTGTGCGGTATTGGTCCTCGTTAAACTGTGCTACCGTAAAGTGCTCGACTTCGCGCGCAGGTCGTCGGGCTACCGAAGCGGGGGTGCCATCCCCTCTGCAGAGGATCAAAATTGTGATGGCATGTCTTCGGATCATCCTCAGGGATGTTTCCCAGACCGTCGCCAATAGTCCATTATGCAGCTCTAGTGCGGCGTAAATGAACAACAACAACAACAGCATGATCCTCAACAGAGGGGATGGCACCCCCGCTTCGGTAGCTCGACAACCTGTACGCGAAGGCGAACACATTACGGTAGAACCCGCAGCCAATGATGCTTGACTTCGGTCATCTGCTGGGAAACGTCTCTTAATGATCAGTCCACTGCGGGACTTGCAAATTTGGAGATGAGAGCAAGAACTTGATTGGGTTTTTTTCATAGAGTTTTACAATATTTCACGAATCAGATTCTCCTTCACATCTTCGAATTCGCATACACGATTTTTTTTTCTTTTCTATTTTTATCATTGTAAATAGGACCTTACGCTGCATCCGATTGTCCATGACACACGAGCGAAAGTTTAGAAACTACATGTGAAAACAGTAATACTTTATTTACATCGCACTAGAGCTTAACAAATGGGCTATTGGCGATAATCTGGGAAACATCCCAAAGGATGATCTGAAGTCTCTCACAAAATCATATAACGCAAAGGGGATGACGACACAACCGCTTTGGTAGAACACGAAGTTGAGGACTTTATGGTTGCACAGTTACACAAGTACTGATTCTGCACACCCTCGGTCCTTTCGGAGGCTGATCAAAGTGGTTAATCGCTTGATTGGTTAATCGCAGTTGCTTGGTTTCAGTCATATAGTGCTCGACTCCAATAATCTATTAAAAACAGTAGTTAAATTTTAATATCACACCACCACGCTACATGGCAAATTTTAGAAACTTTAGGCACCATTCTCACTGGAGACGAACTCGAACCCTGAAGAGTGAAACATATTTTCCCAGGAAAAACTCGTCAATCATCTACACACGTATACGAGCAACATTTGATTTCTCTTTCTCTTTTAATTTTTGGCTAAAGCGTGAGCTTATAAAATACAGATTTCAGGAGAGAAAAATTACTTTTTGCAACAATAAACAAATAGTCAATATTTAAAATTTAAAAAAAAATATTATGTAAAAAGCCCTTTTTTCATACATATATATTACAATAACTTTCAAACAAATTGGAATTTCAGAAAAATATAAAAAACTCGCGTTTAATTTACAGATAAACTTGAAGAATTTCGCATAAAATTTAAACTCAGTAGTTGCATTTCCGCAGTCTGTCGATCAACTTGCATGGTAATTTTTACTAAAGGTTTAACAGTTAATAATAATAAAATGTTAAATATTCTTATCCTATCATATACCCTCTACATTTTTTTATGCTCCATCGTAATATCAATTTTTTAAGACTTGTATTTTTTGAACAAAATGTAATGAGAAAAAAAAAGGATAAAATTAAAAAAAAAAAAAACTTAAAAAATGCATTTATTTTGTTTCTTTTTACAATTAAAAAAATATTCTTTTTTATTGTAATTTCTTTTACTTGGTATAATTTTAATCTATAAATACATTAACTTAACCTTATTTGTATAATTAGAGCCGAAAATATTTTCAAGTCATTCTAACATAAGAATTTTTCTTTTTTAAATCAAATTTTTAACCCTCAAATAGAAATTAGTTTATTTCGTATAACTTTAACTTTATTAACATCATATTTGTTTTATAACAGCTTTGCTTACCCACATTAAGATTTCTAATTGAAAATCAAACTTTATAAGTTTTTAATAATTCCTGCTGAATATTTATGGTTGCGATGCCATGCAAAACTAAGGGAAAAAACTATTTCTTAATCAAAGAAGATATTTTATCAGTGCATTCAACTATCCTTTCGAATCAAAAACTTCTTTTACCATGTAATCACATTAAACAGAGAGCCTTGTCTCTGGTATAGATATCCAAAGATTTTATAAAAAATTAATAAAAGTGTAAAAAAGGAAAACAAATAGTAGTGCAAGACAATTTTAAAGCAAGACTAAAGCATAAATAAAGACAACAAATAAATAATTTATTAACAAATGTCAGCTATATACACATATACAACACTAGTATGAGCACAAAGGTCAGCTTTTTAAGTACTTTACTAATTTGGAAGTGAGCTCAGTTATGTGAACTTGTTCCTGTTAAAAAAAGAAACAAACATTGAATTAAAATTTAAAAAGTTAAAGCAAATTATGTTTTAAGAGAATGCTCCAAAGAAATGCAATAAAGTATATAAGTTCGTTTTAATGAACATAATTATCCTAAAATCATAATTAAAACACTTTTTGAAAGATCTAATTTGATTTGAATGGTCAAATGCAAGTTTTTACTTGTTCTTAGTTAAGAGGGTTTCACAAAGCTCTTTAAAAAATATATATATATTTTAAGGAGCTGTACTAGAGAAAAAAAAGGCACAGTTTCAGTGCTTTAAACTCTAAACAAAGCTTTTAATTTAAATTATGCTATCTTCCTGAAAAGACTTAATAGACTAATATAAATTTGATTATTTAAACATATTTTAAAAAGATTTAAGAAATCATCAATTTTGGGACATATATATATATATTACACTTAGAGGAAAATCAATGAATAATCTCAAGTTTTGCATAGTTTTATGAGACTCAACTACATATTCAAAACAACTTTTATCACAATCTTTTTACAGTTTAAAAAAAATAGGGATTTTTTTTTCTTCATATTAGCATTATGTTCCTTTTTTAACAATAAACATATAGAATTCTAGCTAGAGATTAATAAAACTTAACCCACTATGTATAAGTAACTGCTTTAAAATTGCAGTAGTTTTAGAATGCATATCATTCATAAATAGTAATATTTCATATAACTCCTTCAAAAGTGTTATTTCATGAATGTGCCTTATGAAAGGGTTATTTTAGAAATTTTTTTGTTTAATTATATTCTCTGAAATGTATTTTACTGCACTTAGGTCACTAAATTTTTTTAAAAAAAAACTTACAAATTTAAAATTTGATAACTAAGTTTAATAGAATATGTTTCACTACATAAAATGTAACAAAAATTATTCCAAAATATTAATTAAGCACTGAATAAATAAAAAAATTCTGAACATATAAATTTGCATAGTAAGTATAATCTCTTTCCTGTCTGAAGGTGACATTTAAATCTAATAAAATACAGTAAGTACAGGAAGTTTATAATTCACTCCAATAAAACAAGAGATACAAAATACTAATTACTTATTTCAAAACAATAAAAGAATATATAAACTTTAAAATCTACAGGAAATTTTTAAAAACATCCAAAGATATGTTAAGCTTCAGATTAACTTAATCTTTCAACACATTATTTGATGCAATATTACAATTCTGACATTTTAACATAAATGGATAACCGTGTCTCATTATGAAGTGTATCAAATTGAAATTCAAGAATGCTTAAAAAGTTAAGAAAAGTCTTAATACTTCTTTCAATTATCATGACACTAGGATTGTTAGAAGATACTAAAAGCTTGTGATAAGTTTATAAATAAAAATTCCTAGAAAAATAAGAAAAAGTAATAAAATGTGTGATATTGTAAAAAATTTCCAAATTTTTGACACATAATTCAACATTTCAGCGTTTTTTAATTGATATTTAATAGGGCAAAACAAATTTCAATTTATTTGTTTAAGAATATCTAATAAATTTTATATACTATAAAAAATAACGTATCTAAAATATACAGTCTTATACATATATTACAAACTTCTAATAACTAAAAATATAAAAGGATGGCATGTTTTTTTCCTCAAATAAAAACAATTCTGCATGATGTTGACTTAAATACAAGTAATTTAAAAAACATTTAATATGGAATATTATCTCACTTGTAAAGTAGTGTCTCGATTACGAAGTCCGGCAATACCAGATTGCAGAGATGTTTCATTCAAAACAATGATGTAAGGCACACCCATTTCATCAAAGCTGAAAAAAATGTAAAAAAATGAAAGACTATTATTTTAATAAAACTGTCATATTCTATTGTTTGCAAAGCACAAAAATAAGCTGAAAAACTAAACTGAGCACTTATTGGCATTTGCATGTTGTTAATCAAATAGTATAGCAAACAGATCGTTTTAAAAAAAAGTTTGAAAGAGAGTTGAAATTCTGATCAAATAAATTCTTCCCTCTGGGCTATTTATAATAGCATATTATATTATGCCAATCATAAATTTAAAAACCGTATCTAAATATAAAGAATAAATCTAAAAATCATATTTCTAAAAACTGTAACTAAAATCAATAATAATAATACTCAATACCAAAAATATATTTAATTTATTTCATTCAATTGCCATAATCTATTTTTTGCAATGCACAAAATATAAACTAAACTGAGCACTTTTTGGCATCTGTATGCCATTAATCAACTAATGTAGCAAACATATGGTTTATAAAAATAAGTTAGAAAGAAAGTTCATTCTGATACAAATAACTTCCTCCCTTTGGGCAATTTATAATAGCATATGTCCAATCATAAATCCTTAAAAAAAGTAATTAAAACTAAATAATAATACTCAACAACAAAAAATATATTTATTTAATTCAATTATTAGACATCTTAGAATTAAACTAAAGAGAGGGTATACTTTATACTGTATTTGAATTCTTTGATGAAAATTTTTTTTCTTTCCACATAATAAAACTTCATTTAAAACTTTTCTTCACTTCAATGAAATACATTCCAAATACATTATTAAATGAGTAAATGCAGAATGTTGGAAAGGAATTTTGAAGAGCAATTCACATAACCATAATGTAAGAGTAAATAAATACCTGCTAAATAGAGATTCTAAAGAAGTTGTAAACTTGGAGTTGAGGGTGGGAAACAAGAGTATGCCTGACTTTTGAAGCTCTTTTGATAAATGAATAGCAAGATTTTTCAATCTTTTCAAAATTTCAGAACTTTCTGCGTCTAATAAAATACAAACTTTATATGGCACTATTTTGAAGTGTAAATGCAGAATCTAAAGTAACGTATAAGACAGAATTAAAAAAGAGGAAAACAATAAATATTGATTGCCACAAGCTAATACAAATAAGAGTGTAGTTAAGAAAAGAGTAAAAGAAATATTTTGACAAAAGAATCGTTAAAATTACACAATACAAGATCTCAGATACAAGATACAGAATACAAGATCTCAATTAAAATATTGTATTAAGAAGTTAGGCTTTTTAAAAGAAACTAGTTATCATAAAATTATGAAATTTAGTAGATGATTTAATAAGACCCTTCCCAAATTGAATATTTTTTTCAAAATACTACCCTAGAAGACAATTTAAAATCAAATTTTACATTAAATCGCATTTTTACAATACTTGATGGAATAACAATATTAGGAAGAAAACAAAAATAATTTTAAACATTACCACAGAAAATGTTATATTATCCAAATTACACAATAAGTCATACTTTTACAAAAGTTGTTAGGTTTTTAATGAAAATAAATGCATGAATATCGATTGAAAGATTTTCAACTTGAAATACTTCAAAGCATACATTCCTAAATTAAAGTATTTATAAAGCATAATGAATAAAAGTATGACATGCTGCAATCTTATTTTGAATTAATCAAAATGTCCCATCATTTTCAGCTCTATCAGAAATCACAAGATGGTAAGAGAAATGTATAAAATATTTGTGTCAGAAAAACATGTTTTTAAAATCATATAAGCTCAATTTTTATCAATCCATAAATATGAAGTTTTATCTTAACAGTTTCTATAGATTTCAAAAAATGCCTGGAAAGAAATTTTTGACAGTTTGGATATTTTTCACTATCCTTGAAAATTGATTTTAAAAAAAGAAAATCATTTAAAAAATGGAAAATAGCTTATCTTATGCTTCAATAAAAAACGAGATTAAATAGTCCTGATATTTCTCTTATATCCAAGCTTAAAACTACAATTTATTGAAATCTAGAGATTGTGTATTTACTAAATTTGCATTCAAACTACAGTTCTTAATTATGGTTTTAAAACATTTTTGTATAAATAAGTTAATAGCACTTTATTATATCACTTACAAAATTTCACATACACCAGTTTTTATTGTAAGAAACTTTGAAATAAGGTCTTTTAGTTAATTTTCTGTAGTAAAAATAAAGTTTAAAAAGTACAGTAGAGCGCTGATTATCCGAACCCTTATTATCCGAACGTCCAATTATCCAAACTATCTCTGAATTAGTTTTTTTTTTAAAGTTTAGAATACTTTTTAACCTCTTGACAATTTTTCTAAATTAAGAAGAATAAATAATATCCCCTACATCCGAAGACCATATTTAATTTACAACCTTTTCAGCAGTTTTCTTATAGCAGCCATACATACATGTATGGTGATACAGTTAAACCGATCTACCCCTTTACAACTGAAAATTATCTTCCAAGAATGCGAGCTTCATTTTGATAGTCTACAATAGTTGGAATGCAGAAGGAGTTTATGAATGGATAAGTGCTGAAGTTTTATAATTGGGGAATGGGTAGTTGTCACTTATGGTTAATAATAAATCTTGGAATAAAATTCTTAACAGAAAAACTGAAGTTTCTGAACCAGTGGATCTTTCGGATGAAAATGATGAAATTGTTGCTGAAATTTTAAATGAAAATCGGAACTCCACAGACGAAGTGGAAAAAGTAAGTGATCAAGTTCAAGATAGTGGACCTTCTCATATAGAAGTATGCAATTCATTAGATTTTGCAATGAATTGGCTAGGACGTCAAAATGATGCTGATCCAGTTCAGTTGATTTATTTAAAAAGAATAAGGGATATATGGCTACTAAAAAAAAAAACGCATCTTCTTTGAAACGAAATCTTTGCTGGATTTTTCTTTTGCAATGGAAAATAATGAAAAATGTGGTAAAATCTGTAATTGACAAAAAAAATTGTAAAAAACTGAAATATGATAAAAATAGTTCAAAATGAAAAAAAAGTTAATTAAAAATATTTAAAAATTGAAGAAAAAAGAAACTTTTAAACACGCCAAAGCTATTTTAGATAGTACTACCAGTCCTATAAGCCTACGAAAGGTGCGAAGGGAAGTTAGTGCATAAATAATAATCATGTACACTAGATTTTAAACAGTTTTCCAATTATCCGAACCATGTTCGGTTCCGAGCAGTTCGGATAATCGGCGCTCTACTGTATATGTCTCAGATTTTATTAAATAATACATAGAATTCTATTTTACACAGATACGGATAGAATAGATAATAATGTAATATCACTACAGAAATTATTAAAAAGTGCAATTTAGCAATAAAACAATTTTTAAACAAAAACACATACCTTTTCTGTATGTTACTAGAAAAGCTTTCTGAGAACCGAAACATCTAAATTCATTATGTTCTTAATTTGTTTTGGTACATATGAGTTCTAAAAATTATTAAGTGTAGCTATTTATTTTTGAATCAATTATTTCTCATATTTATTACAAGCAATAATTTTGTATTTATTACGAGCAATAAATGCAGCGTAAAACAATGATTATTTCTGAATTTTTCACTTATTGTTTAAGGATAATAATAAACTGAATACTAATGAGTCTTAAATCTATACAATTTTCTTATGAGTTTAACGTGAGTGTAACAGGTAAATCATTAATAAGTGTTAAGGATAAATTTTTAAAAATATGCAAACAATTGCAACAATAAAAATTTATTTATCTCTAAATTCATTTTTCTGCAATATTCAATCCTTTAATTTATCTCTGTGAAAATTAAAAATTAATTTATCTCTTAACTTTGATTATTAACATTGCCACTATCTTATAGATTAAAAGTTATTTTTTTAAAGCATATAGATAAACTTGTTCAAATAAAAATTGAATTTTTAATTTTTGCAACTATTATTTCATTTCAATTAAATGTCAATTTTTTTAAATATTCTAAGACTGCTACGGAAAAATCACTATACATTTTTATTACAGTAATTTTGAAGCAGTCTTGAACAAAAACTTTTTTTAATTACTTTGGATTATTTGGAACAGCGAGTTTTAAACTTTTAGAGTTATATTATCTAAATTTCAGTAAAATTGCAATTTTAGAAATATAATAATTTGAGAATGGTTTAAGCTTAATTTAAATTATTAATTTCTGATTTTTATCTATGATTCATAATTCTAAGTAAGTTTCAAAGTGCAAGTTAGTGACAAATTCCTGTTTTGATGCAAACTAAAGCAGATTTAACAAATTTATTTATAAAATTTATTTTAGTTAATATATTTCATTATTCCTTCTTTTAAAAAATATTACCACACAATCTCAAAAAGGTTTTAACGTAATATTACATATTTTTATTTCGTTTAAATTCTAATTAATTATTTCAATTTTTCTAAAAAATACATAAAATATGAGCAACAGCACCAGTTTACAGGTACTAAATTATCAACAGTCATATCAGTGATATCAGAGAAATTAAGCAAAATAAAGATTCATTTAAAAAGTAATAAACAGAGAAAATATAAACATACATTTTTTAACTTTCCTTTCCTCCATCGTTCAGCATATGAATTTGACAAATATGCTAACACAGCTAAATCCAATTTAGTTTCGCAAACTATTAAAGATGGTGTTGAATCTGGATTGAATTTTAATTTGTTCGTCTTGCAGAAATCTTGAAACAGGCTTTCAACGCATCTACTTTCATAATGTGTAATAGATTCAAGTGGTTCATGTCCCCAAGGAAATTCATGTAGGAGGGACAGTTGTTGGATGTCTTTTTCAATATTCTTTACTTCAGACATTGAAAATTTAGAAGGGATGCTAGAAAACTGTTTAAAAAAATCAAATAAGTAAAATTATCATTGGAAAATATCAACATCTTGGTTCAAATCAACAATAGATGTTACATTATAATGGGTCAGTTCCCCAACGCAGAGCTATTGGAGCAAGCTCCAAACTGTTTTGACAATGTCATTCATAAACTAACTGAAAAGTTTAATGGGTTTTCTTCTTTAGAGAAGAGTGGAGATATTCTTTGCTTCTCTTTTCCTTATAAATAAATGATTATGTGAAGAATTCTAATGTTTTGAAAACAAACTTTTCAGTTATAAAAGATGTTTTCCAACGCTGAACCATACACTGACTTTATTTTTTTGTCACTTTTTCATCAAAGTAAAAATTTATTTAAAATATACATTTATAAATTGAGAATTTGATTGGTGTATTCCAAGTAGTATGATCTAACTACATTCAGTAAGAATGTTCCCTATGCTTATAAAAATTATGAATCGTACTTTATTTTTCTTCAAGAGTTTAACCTTTTTATAGCAGTTTAATTTTCTGAAAGAAATATTTAAAATATTGAATAAGGAATCATTCTAAGATAAAGAATAATGATTTCATCAAAAAATTATGAATTGAATAAATCAAAAAATCAGCAAATAAGTGAATAACAAAAGTTAGTTGTTAAATAATAAACTTCTCATAAGTTGAAAAGATCAGGAGCAGGTTTCAAAAGCTTCTTGTCCCGGTACAGACCCAATGCTAATAAATGCTTCTCTAGCTCGAATTTAGAGAGAAAAATATATATATATTCCTTATAGAAAAAAAACTCGAATGAGATATTAATTTCAGGTACATTAAATGAATTAAAACTTCTAGCACACTTTGGCTAAATAGGATCAAGGCTTCCTTTTATAATGTTTGCAACTTTACAAAACTCATACTAATTGCTAGAAACATTGTGAAATCAATTGTTTAACCTTCTCTTACTGCTGATAGCGTATTTGCTGTCTTTGGTAACATTGATCTGGGAACCAGATATGGTCATTCAAATGCGTCTTTTATGGGAGGAGGTAGGTTGCTTAGTAACAAAATTCTGTATTACATTCAACGCTATTTTCTTGAGAGTTTAAATTCAAGTTGTAGTTAATTGCTGCATCAAATGAAGTGGACAGAAATTTGTATCAGTCATCCTTAGTCATCAATACAGAGAAGATTAGACAAAAAATAAACATTTTTGCTGTTTGTATGAAGCATGCTTTTGTCCGATTCAATAAAAAGTCATTATTTAAGCTGATAATATTGGACAGTTCATTAAGCTATTGCTACAGACACAAATTAGTAATTTCTAACAGGCATAATGGAAAAAAAGATCACATATTTGTAAGAATCAAATAAATAAGTCCTGCTTACTTTTCTCCACCACAAATATCGCTGTTTAGACCAGTAATGAAACCAATGAGTAGATTTCTTTGGTTGAGAGAAAAAAACAATGCATAAACGAGTCCATGATTTAAACTTTCTGAAAATAGATGGGTTTTTTTTTTAACAGAGTAAGAATAAGTTAAAAAAGACAACCATATTGTTTGAAACATTTTACAATTTAAAACTAATGCTAATTAGAAAAAATAATTTAAACTTAAGAAAGGACATTCTCCAGCATCCTTTTTTTTTCCTTGCAACAATCTTCTTTTCTAAACATGAAAAGCATTGACCAAAAAATTATTATATAATAAATTCACTTTTGATTTTTACAAAATATGAAGGAATTTTGGGCTTTGACATGAAAGAGTTTTCAAAAATGTTAAATAATCTAAATTATTAAAAAAAATAATAATAATTTAATTAAAGGAAATGCTTGTTTAATAAAAAATGATTAATTAAAAGAATTTATTAAAAAAAAAATTAATGATAAGAAAAGTAAATCATAGTACCTACCACTGGATAAGTTTTCATAAGATAAAATTAATATGTAAAAAAGTTTTACTACCAAATAGTAGATTAAAATACACTCATAGTAAAGTTTCATGTGATCAATATTGCATTAACAATATTGTTTTACTTTTCTGTGATCACAGTTGTTTGTTTGTTTTTGTTACAGTCAATTTTCCTGAAAATTCAAGGTTTACTAATCTTTTTTTTTTTTTTTTCCATTTCTTGAAAATTTCTGGTTTCTCTTGTCTCTAGAGAAAGTGGCAATCTTGTTATTGTTCTACTGGGAATAAATAATTTCAACAGAATAAGTCAACTTACTGAAATTCAAAATCTTTTTCTTGACAAGGCATAATATTCTTGTTGAACTGATTTAAGCAAGGTCCATATGCAGCAAATCCAAGAGGAAGATCATGTCCAAATAAAGAATCGGATTCAAAGAAGTTTTTCATAATATCTATTAAAAATAAGTGAGCTAATAAATGCAGTAGACGAAAAAAGAAACAAAAAGATAAATGTAAAACATTTCAAATTTGTTAAGAACACGTTTTAAAATGATATAATTCAGAATTGTGTCAAAAAACTTACATAAAATAAACATATTTCCATTATTTTCTTTACAATTATTTGCCGTAATTAAGACAAAAGAAATTCTTAGTAACAATAAAAAAATTTATTGCTCTGGTACTATGAATTTAAAATTAGGCTACGGTGATACTTAACCTTAAAAAACTAAATAATTATACAAACATTTGTTTTATATTGAAAATTTATATGTTTGCATCTCAAAACGCATGGAAAAAAAATTATTTGAAAAAAATTTATCTTCANCTACCAAATAGTAGATTAAAATACACTCATAGTAAAGTTTCATGTGATCAATATTGTTTTACTTTTCTGTGATCACAGTTGTTTGTTTGTTTTTGTTGATTGTCAATTTTCCTGAAAATTCAAGGTTTACCAAGCTTTTTTTTTTTTTTTTCATTTCTTGAAAATTTCTGGTTTCTCTTGTCTCTAGAGAAAGTGGCAATCTTGTTATTGTTCTACTGGGAATAAATAATTTCAACAGAGTAAGTCAACTTACTGAAATTCAAAATCTTTTTCTTGACAGGGCATAATATTCTTGTTGAACTGATTTAAGCAAGGTCCATATGCAGCAAATCCAAGAGGAAGATCATGTCCAAATAAAGAATCGGATTCAAAGAAGTTTTTCATAATATCTATTAAAAATAAGTGAGCTAATAAATGCAGTAGATGAAAAAAGAAAAAAAAAAGATAAATGTAAAACATTTCAAATTTTTTAAGAACACATTTTAAAATAATATAATTCAGAATTGTGTCAAAAAACTTACATAAAATAAACATATTTCTATTATTTTCTTAACAATTATTTGCCATAATTAAGACAAAAGAAATTCTTAGTAACAATAAAAAAATTTATTGTTCTGGTACTATGAATTTAAAATTAGGCTACGGTGATATTTAACCTTAAAAAACTAAATAATTATACAAACATTTGTTTTATATTGAAAATTTATATGTTTGCATCTCAAAACGCATGGAAAAAAAATTATTTGAAAAAAATTTATCTTCATAATAGAGCTTCTTTATAGGCAATTAAAAAAAAATTGTTTTTTTTATTCTTATTACCGCTGAAACAAAACAATTTAAATTTTTACAATTCATATAAAAAAAATAAATACATAATCTTACTATGAGCTCTATATTTAGCTTATACATCAATAAAGGTTTTCTAATCTCTGTTTGAGCTGACATTTGATGGTATTTCAATATTGTTTTAATTTTATGCCTCAAATAATAATAGTGAATTTATCTAAATTCATGTAGTTTACACAAAAATTTGATTACCGTACGTTAAATGAATACATATTTTTTAATATGTTTCCATAATTGTACATTTCACACTTATTTTAGCATCTGTTTATTTCAGATAATTTATTGGAATTGACGAAAATTTTAATTATTGATGGGAAACCACCTTTTGATTCATTTGCCCTAAAAAAATCTTTTCAAGAGATTAATGAAAGAGGAGTATAACATTATACTATTTTATCATAAAAATAAATTTCTGTATAAGATTTTGTAAATGCAGAAAATCTTTGTGAATTTATAATTCTTCTAAATACATTATTATGAAGTTTCAAAACTAAAAAAATTTGTTTTTTCAAAAGAATAATAAAAAAAAATATTAATCATTTCATACTTCAATCTCATACAGTAGTAAAAGATAATAATTAAAAAAAAATTTAATTAAAATGTAAAATTACTACATTTTCTGTGGTATTAAATCTGTTGTTGTTGTGAATTTGAAATTTGATAGATTATTGTTGTTTTCATTTATACATGTAATATTTTTATTAGTGTAGCATGGAATATAGTGTTTTGGCCCAAATAACCGAATATGAAATATTTGACCAAGTATAGTTAAATATTACACCAATTTGATGCTTTGATCCAGAGGAAGATACAAAAAAAAAAATTTATAATTTTTAAATTAAAAATAATAATTGATGACAGGATATATTTTGTTTATATGTGAATAGAGCTAAACAATCTCAATAAAGCATAAAAATGGACATACTATAGTTTTGATTCCATAAATAATAACCTTCCTCGGTGTTAAAACACAAAAGGATAGAGGAAGCACAAGACAAATAAGTAACATTAAAGATATGTGTTTGAGGGGTGGGGAGGAAACCTAAGGTTTGTAAGAAAGAAATATATTTGAAGCATCATAAACAATGAGATACTAGAGAAATCCTTAACTAAATAAATAGAATTTTTCAAAGTATGGAATGATTCCTATAACACAAAGTCAGAAGCTAAAGAGTATTGTTTCATCATTTTGTAATTCAGCACTAAAGAAAGTTTTAATTTATAACACTAAAAATATAGTATGCCCATTTTTTTATTCATGGCTCTTGAATATTCATAAATTCTACTTTCAACCAAAATACTATGAACTAATATTTTAAAACAGTTCTCACTAAACATTAGCACTCAGCATTAATGATATAGTGCAAACAAATTTTAAATATTTTGTTATTTTAAACATATTAGTTGATATTATAACAAGTGTAACAAATTTTGCTTTTAACATTTAGTTAAACTATTGAAGTATATAATTCAATCTTTCATTTTTGGTATTCCCAAATTTTCCTGTGTGAAAAGTTCTTATGTTTTTTCACAGAGGATTATTTTAAATATTTCATTCATCAGCATTACACATCAGCAAAATGTGCTTGTAAATTTATGTATATATATTACATATCTTTGCGAATCAAAAACAAAAATTAATTTTATTAAAAATTATTGTTGCTAAATTGTATATTAATATATATTGATTTACTACTTCACATTTATATAAGTAGTTAAAAAAAACAATAACTTACATTTAAATGCATCATTATTTTTTTCTGTGATTTTAAAATCTGAATTTTGTTGTAAATTTACAATTTCAAGGGGGAAAATGGTAACTTCATTATTGTTTATCAAAGAAGAGAGCCTGAAATATAAATTATTAAAATTTAGTAAATATTTGCCATGTTTTGAATTAACAACATCCCAAAACCTTTCTTAAATTATAAGCAGTACATAACATTCACAATTCAAATTTAAACAACATGAAACTAAACTAGAAGGACATTATTATAAAACATTCTTAATACTTATATATAGTTCGCGTGATAAAACAGGAATTTTCCTAATGTTAAACTATAAAACTAGTATACAAACTATTTTAAACATTTTATTTCGCATTAGAAATCAATATGTTTCTTGATTAACACAAAACAACTAATAAATATAAATAATATTGATAACTATATCAATAGCACACAAAAACTGATAATCGAACACAAAAAATTTAATTAAAGAAAATAAAGAAAAGTTTCAATTGTTTGACATACATTAAGACCTCGTGCTAATTTTATTTATTTAGTTGAATCAAAAGAAAATTAAAGAAAAAAATAATTTTTAGGAGCCCTGTGGCCGAATCAAGGCGACATTGTCGCAGAACATTACAAAGCTCTTGCAGCAGGATTTTTACTTTGGGAAATAAAAAATTTTGCTTTTCTTTTCTGCAGAAATTTTCTAATGATTTTATCTTTACTTCAGAATTACATTCAAAAGATGCCTTTCTCGCACATCCCAGTGGGGAAAAAATGCTTGTGATTTATCTATTTTCATTTGAGAATAATGAAAAATAAGGAATAATGAAGTAAAAAATTTGGTTTTCTTTTTTGTACAAATTTTCTTTCTGTTTTTTCATGCAGCTATTACTACTAATTTCCACGTAGCCTTTAAAATCCGATATTATTTATTACAACAACTGCATCACAAAATGAAAACATCCCCTTTTGAATGAAACCCCTTTTTGAAGAGTCTGCTCGATCGTTTTGTTTTTTCTCGGTAGTTACTGCTGCAGTTTTCACGATTTTTTTTAATGTGATGATGAATTACAAAATGGAATTATTAGTGACAATTAGTGAATTCACAAAATGTGAGAATATCGCCTATAATATCAGATTAGAAAAATATTACATATTCAATTAAAAATTTCATTTTATTTAATCAAATTTTTTATTTATTTAATTAGGTTTAATTTTTTTGCAAGTTAACACTTCTATTAATTTTAAACATCTTGCAAAAAGATATTAGTATTAGAGAGGCATGTCACAGAAAGCCTGAAAAAATTCTGCGACAGGGCTAAGGAAAGGAAATTAAAAATTTAACAACTAACACATCCTGATTATTATGCTTCAGTTACTAAAAACATGGTGACCATTTTGGAAGACCTCCAAGTTATATTTTAAACATGAAGAAACATGTAAAACTGTCCAAATTTTAAAACTCATATTATGGCATAGCCTATGGTGTTCAAGTCTAACAAGAAACGTAACACCAGTCGTAATACAAAATTTACAATTATGAAACTCTACAGGCTTTTGATCACTGATTGAATAAACAGAGACAACAGTTTAATAGCGAAGGAAGAAATTAGAAAATTTAGTCACTGGTCTATTATTTATACATCAATTTTTTTTAAAAGCGAAAAAGAGTAAAAGAAAAATTACACAACAGAGAATGTTTCGTGTTCACAACTATCAGCACTCCAGTGGCTAAGTTAGTAAAGATGTTGCTCACTGCGCTTGTAAGAGAGCTCTCGGTAGTGAGTTTGATCCCGTCAGCCTAAAAAATAAATAACGTACATGCATAGCAGAGTACACTGTAAATCTGTCGTGGCTGAAAGTCCTATCATTGGTTGTGCTGCAGAAATTTGGAGAGAAAGGAATCATCTTAGGTGTTGTTCACGTTTTCTTGCCACAGTCAAAATTATGTAGCATTCATACCATGGCTGATAAAGATAGAGCCTTAAAAATGGTGTTAGGTGCTTAACCGTGATATGGTGGTGTGTTTGTTTATAGTTATCATGAAATATGCTATTCCATAGCAATAATACAGAACAAAATACATTCAAAATAAGGTTGTCTTGGGCCAAACGACCGCTGTCACTTTTGAGCAACTAATAACAAAATAATGAAGAGAATGAAATAGTATCGAAAGATTAGGTAAATAATATGCATTGAGACCTAAATTGAACTCAAGAATCAATATTGCAATTGCAGTGAAATGAGGACTTTGTTTATTTATCACATTGTTTATTTACTAAGAGTAAGAAAGTTCAAGTTCAAAAAATAAATGAATAAATGATATTACAGCACATTATTTTGTAAACTTAAATATATTTTACTTTAAACCATTTATTTCTATATTTGTATTAACACTGGAGTTTTAAAGTGATCTTTTACAAATAATGATATGCTTGGAGAAGAGAGAAAAGATATCAAAAAGTCTAACATCACTCACACAATATGGTTAAAAAAAAACATTTAAAACCAGCAGGTTACCTATTTTTATATCAGTTTTAATATTTTTTTTCTCAAAATATGTGTATATATATCTGATCATTATAATTATTATGCCCATAAATGTCATCAAAACACAAAGTTAAATATCAAAAATAAAATTTTAAATATTGTGGTTTACTTTTGAGTGTTAGTAATTCTTTTCTGTGTCATATAGTAAAATAAGGGACAATCAGATAAGAGGTATGGTAAAGTTTCCAATTTGTGAAAAATTAGAGAAGGGGGTGAAACATATTGATAAAAAATGTGACATCATTTATAAACAACTCCAAAAGATCTATGAAACAAGTTTCTATAGTAAGAATAGTTCCAATTTAAAATATATATATATATATAATAGCATAACATATTACATCTAATAAAGTAAGCTAATTATTACTTTATTTGATTAACTAAATTAACTATTAAAAATAAATTTATTATGAAAGCCCTTATTAACAATTAAATCACCATGTTGCATCAGAAATTCTATTTACAAAATCAATTAGTATAGTTACTTATTTTCACATGTAATATGTTATTTAATATATATTAATTACATATGTATATTCATATTTAATATATATTTAATACATACAAGTAGATAATAGAATCTAAATATTGATAAAATATTAATATTAGTTAAATATCATACCATGTATTAAATACATTTCTTTTCAAAAGTGAGCCTAAGGAACCATATTGTAGTACTCTATCACTATCATTCATAAAGCAAGTATTTATGATATTGTTCATTTGGCACATTCGAAGCAGCTTTGTCCAGCTATTAACTATAACGCCAGATGACATGATACACAGCACAATAAACCTGAAAAAATTAATACTTTTTTTATTAAGACTGAAATATGCATTAAACTTTAAAAAATTAACAAGAAACATAAATAAATGTAGCTTCTATACATAATTTCTTTCATGCAATACTTAGCATTATTTTATCACATTCTTAATAGACAAATAACAGATAATTGTTCAATTTTTATGACAACATAAGTATAAAGCAGTTTTTGTAATCGCAAATGGAACAATACATAAATAATAAAAACCACATTTAAGTTATGATGAATAGGAAATCAAAAAATTACAGTTCCAAAAGATACACAAACAAACTGGAAAAAAGGTTATTATAATAAACCAATTATATTAATAAAAGAAATTACGAGTTGTATTTGTCGAGAAGAATATAAAATGTAATATTTTAAAGACCTTTTTAATTTTAAACAATGCGAATAAAATTGACATGCTCAATACTCAACCTTCAGTTACCGAATTCAATTTTAAATGTAAATAAACAAAGACTTCTGCAAGTTATAGTTGAGTTGTTTTGGTGTATGACGCTTATTAATTTATTAAAGCAAAGAATAGAAATAAAATATATTCAATTCGCGATCGCAACGCTCGAGTACGCCGTCTAGCGGGAGACTGTAAATATCGGACATTAATTTATCACGTTTTCATTTNTATAAAATGTAATATTTTAAAGACCTTTTTAATTTTAAACAATGGGAATAAAATTGACATGCTCAATACTCAACCTAACTCGACTTCAGTTACTGAATTCAATTTTAAATGTAAATAAACAAAGACTTCTGCAAGTTGTAGTTGAGTTGTTTTGGTGTATGACGCTTATTAATTTATTAAAGCAAAAAATAGAAATAAAACATATTCAATACAAATTATTGTATAAAATTTTGGAACAAAATCTTGCAAATTTTTTTATTGCTCTTCATATTATAAATTAATCATACACGTTGAAACGAGGGTTTTTAAGCTTCTTTCAGTGGATCTTAACTTGAACAGAAATAAGCAGCCAGAAACTTACAACCTGACAGTAAAAAGCAATTTTTTTTTAAAGATTTCGTTTTTATCCTTCTTGGCCACCAGAATTAAGCCCAAGTTATTGTTTGCCAAGTTATCGTTCTTGTTGTTTTTATCCCAGTCTTGAGTTGCTAATAATAATCTTTTTTTCGAATGATGTATTGCAGCTTTTAAAATTACTTCTGTGATATATTTTTCTGTGGAATCAATGACAAAATTTTAAGGGTCTTTAGCTGTCGTTAAATTTAAGATGGGAGACTTTGCAGATGAAGAAGTACACTTATGTTTATTTTATTTATTTATCTATTGTATAACTATATTATGTCTCTTATCTATTTGCCTACTGTATCTGTTTTTTAGACATTTATTTGTATTAACTTTAAAAGAGGGTGCCTCTTGGATGTAGTAGGTACTTTATTTACGTCGCACTAGAGCTGCTTAATGGGCTATTGGCGATGGTCTGGGAAACATGCTTGGGAATGAGTTGAAGCCATGTCATTGCAATTTTTGGGAGGCCACTTCTCAATTTAGACGTAGATCTGAAGGAAAAAGAAATTTTCTCCAGATCCTTGTACCCTGATCGACCACAAACTTTAGAATTCACAGATTTTACAAGCACATATATCGCATATAAACTGTGGGTCTTAACAGAGTCAAGGATCAAACCCTGTCTCCTTCAGACTGGAGTCCAATTTTCTAACCACTGAGCTACTATGGCCCTTCCTCTTGTATTAAGCTCTGTAACTTGGAGCTTTTATGTGCTTGGAGTCTTATTTTGCTATAGCGATTTCTTATTAGAAAATCCCTCTTTTGAGTCTTTATTCCTGTTTTCTTCTAGAACATAAAAAACCGCCTAAATAAAGGAGGTAGGGTGACCTGGGGTAATTCCTGATAAAAAAATGCAAACATCTATTTTGTGAAAAAAATATTCAAGATAGAATTTTAATATTTACTGGAAGTTTGAGGGTTTATGAGAGGAGTCCTATGCTACCTTCTTTTGTTTGAAAATCTAATTAGAATTCAAAGGATTTTAAATTTTTAGTGATCAGGAATTACCCCTTCTCTTGATCATTTCTGGGGTAAATACTGATCACTTCTGGTGTAATTACTGATCACCAGTTTTTATTGTAAAGGAGCTGTTTAAGAATTATTATACAATGGTAATTAACAAATAAGACATCAAGATCAAACAAATAAACCAAAAATAAGAAATTCACTAGCTAATAAAACAATGTATTTAAAAGCAAGAATAAAGATTAACACTTTAAATTTTACAAAAGTCTTGGTATTGTGCCATACATTTTAGGCAAGCAGCCAAGTCATTCTCATGTTCTGCTGGAATATAAGAAAGAGTTCCCACATGGATTACTTTTGGTGGACTTTTTAACTTCATTAAGTGAGAGTGTATAAAGTTAAGTTAGGTGTGTCAACAGCTACGACAGCAGCTCTCACACTGAAATTTTCATTTTCAATCTTTATAAGAAATTCACTGATTTTGCTTTCTAAAAGCTTAGTATCCTTTTTAGGCTTACAATTTCTCACCATATTTGTATAAAGTTAATTTATAAACTTAAAAACTATTCTAACAATGTACACACAAAAATTTAATATAGAAGCAAGGTAAGACAAACCAGAAATGGTGCAAATCAGAACACATTTGTCTTGTATAGAGTTAAAAACAAATTTTGTGATTACAGTTATAATATATTTTATAGTTGTTCCACTTAATAAATATGAACTGTTATTTAAGAAAAGACAATTAGCTATCTCTTAGCTATTTTTTATGCTATTTATAAGAAGAAATGACAATGATCAAGAATTACCCCAGTGATCAATAATTACCCCATCTGCAGGGGGCAACATTTGACATAGTTTCCTATAATCAATAATAATATTTACAGTAGATGTGAAACAATTAAACAAAAGCTTACACTATTTTTATATCAAAGAAGAAAAAATAACTCAAAATATTTATTATTAAGAGAAGGATATCAAAATATTTATTATTAAGATCTTTGCAGAAATGTGCACATTTTGAAACCCATCTTTGAAATGGAAAATACAGGAAGCAGTTTAAAAGATACTTATTTTGTCAGATTAAACAAAAATCTATTATTAAGTAAATGCAGTTATACTTTAGTAAAGTGTGCAAGCATTCTTGTCCATGTCTCAAATTTTAAAAAAAAAAAAATTTTTTTTAAATGAAACTTAGGTGATCATTATTTACCCCAGAAACAGAGTGATCGTGAATTATACCGGGTCACCCTACCATATTTTAAACTTTTACCAAGCGTTTTGGTATGAATTTATTTTGCCAGTGTTATTAATTTGAGCTATTTTAATTATTTTTAATTTAGCTTGTTTTTTTATTTTTACTTTGAATTAAAAAACTAAAAAAAAAAAACAGTTGAATTTTCTATTTTTTTCTGAGAAGCAGACAGTAACTATAAGCAAATAAGTATGAGCCTTCATTGTAATGAAAAATGTAACTTCCCAATTGTTTTATTCTTTAGAATCTTCAAACTTCAATTCATTTCTCAGTTGGAAAAATATGTGCGGATATTGCGACTGAATACAAAGTGAACTTCAGCAAAGAATTTATGGCTACTCTTGCAGATTTAACTTTCCATCAAGCGAGTATATTTGCCGAAGATTTGGAAGCCTTTGCAAAGTATGTACTTGAATGTTGGCACCATTCAAACTAAACTATATACAGTGTTCACATAAACCTTCTTATATTTATATCCATAAAAACCATATATTTTAATTTTTCTCATATATAAAATATTCTTGATAATGAAGCAATATTTCAGGGAATGATTAAATGCAGAAAATGTTTTAGTTAAAATTTAATACCGATAATCATAAAAAAACAATATGATCATGATCAGCCCTAAATTTTCTCCTGGTTTTTATTTTTTGTGCTAATGTTTAACTTTCAAAATTAAATGCCTTCTTGTGTTGTTGACTGAATTTCTAGCAAATGATATTTTCTTTTGCACAAAGAATTTTTTTTTTGCTTAACATGTAATGTTATTTTTTTAAATTTTTTTATTGTGTTAATTACATTTTTATAGTCCCGCAGTGGACTGATCGTTAAGACACGGTTCCCAGCAGATCACCGAAGTCAAGCATCACTGGCTACGGTCAGTGTGCGGGTGGGTGACCACTTGGATCAGTCTGCGTAGGGACCGAGGGTGTGCGGTATTGNGGCTACTCTTGCAGATTTAACTTTCCATCAAGCGAGTATATTTGCCGAAGATTTGGAAGCCTTTGCAAAGTATGTACTTGAATGTTGGCACCATTCAAACTAAACTATATACAGTGTTCACATAAACCTTCTTATATTTATATCCATAAAAAACCATATGTTTTAATTTTTCGCGTACATAAAATATTCTTGATAATGAAGCAATATTTATGATTAAATGCAGAAAATGTTTTAGTTAAAATTTAATACCGTTAATCATAAAAAACAATATGATCATGATCGACCCTAAATTTTCTCCTGATTTTTATTTTTTGTGCTAATGTTTAACTTTCAAAATTAAATGCCTTCTTGTGTTGCTGACTGAATTTCTTGCAAATGATATTTTCTGTTGCACAAAGAATTTTTTTTGCTTAACATGTAATGTTTTTTTTTTAAATTTTTTATTGTGTTAACTACATTTTTATAGCTTTATTTATTATCCTTCACACTTAATTCATTGTTCTATTTTTACTAATAAAGGATTTATGCTTTTTTATCATTTGTGATTGATTTTGAACATGTAATTTTTACCACTATATAAATTTAATTCTTGCAATTTGCCTTTATTCTTTGCATGTTGCATATCACGATTCATATTTACGTAATGTACAAAAATTGAATTAAATTCATTTATCAACCTCCATAGTGATTTAAAATTCATATTTCATGTAATTTGAGATTCAATTTGTCTTCACACATATTCAAATAGTATTATTCACTATTTATATTGACCTAGGTTACAATTAATGCATTGCAAATGAATCTTGATTTACAAGTCATACATCATGTTTCACTTTATTTATAAAAAACCAATCACAATTTTTTACTGTGATTTAAAAATGGGAATTCTTATAATTTAACAAAAAATAGTACATCAGGATTTACTTAAAAGGATCAATAATTTTAATTCTATAGATAAGACAAAATGAAGTAAGTTTTGTCTCTAGCCTTCCTTTAATCTAAAACTTAATTGTAACATTTAAATTTGAAGTCACAAATAATGAAAGGTATGTTTTAAAAAAATTTATGCATCATTTTCATCAAGCTGTTTGTTTATTATGCAAGAATGAGAGTTGGAGAATCTGAAGAGAATAGTCTATAAAGATAATAATCAAAAATCTGAGTTAATTTAAATCTCTATAAATAATATTCTTATGAAATTCAAGTATTTTTGTTACTTTCATTTATAGTGCTTGTTGTTTTGATGATTTTTATTTATTTACACTTTTTACTATGAGTATTCAGGAAATAAGACAAGAATTCTCATTTTTAAAAATTACAATTTGAATTTATAATTTTATAAATGCAAATATTTATCAAAATTACGCCTATGTATGTACTTTTCTCTTTAGCTTCAAGCTTTTCTTTCTTATTAGCCACTATACACTCCCATAATTTTTAAAATGTGTTTCGCTTATAAGATCTTCAGAATTTGTTTTCCCCAACCTTTTTATTTGTCTGTTTGGAGAACACTAAATTAAGGCATTTAAACTTTGAGTTAGCCACATTTTTTTTTCAACATTGCTAATAATTACATAATAAAATATTTGGGGCCCATGAATGTGTTTGAATTATTGGTAGATTTCATTTTAAAATTTTGAATTATTTAAGTAAAACCCATGGTAATTAATGATATTATCATTATATAAAGAATTGGTTGGCATTTTTCTGTTTTTTTAAAAAAAAAATTTATCACTTTTATCCTCAAAGTAAATCTATTTGTAAATATACAACATTATATAGTTTCTCGAAAAGTTTCATTAGGTAGAACCATAGGTCATATAAACCATAAGGGATACTTTTTATAAGCTGTTACTAAAAATAAAGCTTTTTTTAAATCTTTTTTATTAGTCTTTATTATCATATTTATTATAGTTCATTATTATCTTCCATTTATTATTTCTTTATCCATTTATTTATAGTTCATTTATTTTAGCCTTTTTTTCAAGCTTAAATAGATCATGAAACAAAACTATGAAACTATTTTTATGGAAATCTAAATTTCATTATTTTATTAATAGCTGCTTCCTATGAATATATCATTTATATCTAGTGGTGTTTGATTTTAAAGTTAGTTTTAATTAGTTTTTATGTGTATATTTTATTACTACATTTTTGTTTAGGCATGCAAAAAGAACAACAGTTAATTCTGAAGATGTTAAGCTTCTTGTAAGAAGAAGTAAATCTCTGGTATTGATTTGTATTTCATTTTCTTTATTTGTTATATTTTTAAAAATAATTCAAAGCTTTCTATTTATATTATGGAATAAGACATCATAACTGTAACATGTCTTTTTGCCACACGTGACTTCAAACTTATTATTCTAATTATTAGTTAAAAACAGAATTGTATAGAAACAGAATTGTATAGTTTACAAATTGGTGTTAGGAAATTGACCGTTACAAAGCTAGTTATTTAACATTTCAGAAATAACTCAACCGTTACATTAATGGTAATAAGTATTAAAATATAGTTCAAGACTTGTGCTGCTTATGATAATGAGTGCAAAATTGAAGAATCATGTAAAACTTAGTTATGGAAATTAGGATAAATATCTCTGATCTTGAATTTTCAATTTAATCAAAAATCTAAACGTAAAAATTCACCCTTTCTCTGCACCAGTAAGTGTATGAATGTGAGAACAAACACGGACCTTCAAAAAATAAGTATCAAATTCAGATAATAATAATAAATATACAATACAAGGTTGCAGAGGTGTATAGAGAAATTTGTTAGTTATATAAATGAGGCTAAACATTTCTGAAAGTCATACGGAACAGAACTGTAAAGAATAGAATGATTCTTGAGACAGATTTGATTCTTCAAAGAACTGTTAGGTCTATGAGTAGTTGTAGTAATAAAGTAATTAAAACTGAATTCGCTTAAAATAATCAATAGTTGTAGATTATAAAGGTTCATCATTTAATCACCCATTTAAAGACAATAAAATGTAAAAAATAATCTTATCTTTTTAATTACAGTATTGAAAGACTGGAATTTTGTCTGTTTAAAAAAATAAAAACCCTATTTCTTCCAGGAAACTGGACAAAATGAAAGAAACTGAAAAGCACTTATACTATTGTGTTTAAATTTAAACAAATAAAATTTCATTAAGCACCGGAAAGTAAATTTTTTAACGTAAAGTAAATGTCCACTTTCTTAAATTAATAAACATTTTCATATTGATTTTATTCAGAGTACATAAATTTGAATTAGTATCTTATTTGATAGTTTAATTGCATTAATAAAATTTTATTATATCTTAAGAGTTCTATATATAAATTAAATATTTTCCATGCTCCTTTTGAGAAAAAGTTTCTTTGATTTGGTTTGGAATAAACCTATTTTGTCTGAAATGGTTTTCCTATGATTTTTTTTTCCAGTATTTCTTTTTATTCCTCTGTGGAAAAATATGCCACTATTATTCTTGGAATAAGGATGCGTGCAAAAAACTCACTTCATTTTAAAAGTTATGCTCTCTCTAACTTCACAAATATTGCATCTCCTCATAGTAACTGCAGTACTGATTTAATGAAGGGTTGTGGCTTGTATACAGGTCATTACAAGAAACGCACTTTGCACTACTTTACTAACAAATAATTTGACCATTATCTAAATTTTCCAGATTGTTGAAATTTGACATTTTTGTTCTGATATAGGCATTTTAAATTATTAGAGAAACATTAAGATCATCAACTTATCAATATTGAAAAGATTGAACATGATGTTCTAACTATAGTTTTCAAAATGTTCAATTCCCATTTAAGTTAAATCTATCTAGGCTTAAATAGTGTTTAACATTTAGCAAATAAATAAATGTAGACAGTTAGACTTCATGTTCACGTATTTGCTGTTATAAAAAGACATGTTTTTCATATTTTTATAAAGCATGCTTGAAAAAGTTATGTTAAATAGTAATAGTGAATTTTTATTAATTCTTATTCATTTTTTAAATTTATTAATTACAACATGATTGCTAAATTATGAAATTAAAAAAATCAATTTAAAAAAAAATGAAATTGAAAAAAAGGTTTTTTGGACCTATTCAAATATTTAATAAATATATTTTTAGTGATTTTGACTGCTTTTCCTCTAGTCAAAAGAAGCAAATTGTCTTCCTCAATTTATCTTGCTTGAAAATAGTTCAAAAATTGTTTTTTATTCACAAATTCTCTTCCCTTAATTATTTACTTGAATCACCCCTAGATTTCATAATCCATGCAATTATTAATTATAAAACAAATTTTTAAAGAAATCACACCCTTTTTTAGTGTACTTAAGGTTGTATGAAATACTTCTGAGACAATAATATTTTACAATAATATCTTAACATTTTTAGAATAAAATGTCAGTTAATGACCTTTCTTGTCAAATGTTGGAAAATCTATATCTATATATATAATTTTACTATTTTACAGCATGATTTAAGACTTTGATAGTGTTTGACATTGTTTCAGTACGCCATAAAAGAAGGAACTTCCCTATTAGCATTACTGGGTCATGTGATCTTGCTCCACCAAACAATAAACACAATGCAAAATAAAAGTCAAAAAAAACTTGCCCATTCGCAGCAGAAGCTGGAGAAATAAATCAAAATCGCTTGAAAACTGTAAATATTTCCTTCCCTCACCACATCAAGGTGTGGAGGACAAAATAACGATAAAATTTTCAAATTAAAGTTTCAGCTGTCCCTTTGATTTAACATGAAATCAAGGGCACAGAAATGTGTGTAACATCGTCATGGTATAAAGTATAAAAGAGTAGCAAATAAAGTGAAATTGTCCATATAATTTAGGGGTGCACAACCTGCGGCCCGCGGGCCAAATGCGGCCCTTCGACTACTGAAGTACGGCCCGCGAGAACTTCTAAACACAATAATTTTTCTTTTTTAAAAAATGGCAATTTTTAATCGCACTTTTAAGTCATCACGTTTTGACACAATCAATTTTAACAGATTCTTTAGCAAATGTACGTTTAACGCGCTTTCTTGAAGCCGAATTTATCGTAAATATAAAGGATTTTTTTTAAACAGTTATTTCCGCTTTTCTACGTGATTTTGAAAATTCGAATTTTTATTATGACGCGAGTTTCAGATCGCAAATTTAAATAATCACTTTTTGTGCACTTTATTTGTGACGATTTCATCTTAAATCTAAGTGATTTTTTATCTTTTTTTTGCAATTCTTTCTTTTTTTTCAAAAATTTTTCTCGGCAGTTATTGCTATGCGTT